GTGTTAATTAACTATAATATTGTGTTAGCACAGTTTTATCAAGTTGAAAAAAAAATTATTTTTGACTGAGGTTGTAGTATGAAAACATAGAAATATTATGTGAACAGTTCGTCGTCAAGTTTACTACTACCTCCATCTCATAAAATATAATTGAAGTTCAACTTTTGATCTTCTACTTTTAAAATTTGAATTTCTCACAAACACCCTTCTCGTATTTTCCCAAATGCCTCAATTCAAACCACCCTGTCCTTTTCAGACACTGACACTGCCCTTACAGTTTTCAACGCCCCTTTTCATTTCCAATTTACCCATCCTTCCCCACCCACCAACAATAATGGCAATTTCAAAATCACAATCTGCCTCTGGGTTGGCCCCCTTTCTTCCCAATTGCAATTGGCCCCAATCTTTCCTCCCACTCATTTTCCCCATGGCAATTTCAAAATCACAATTGCCTATCCACATTTCGAATNGACCCATTTTCAATTTGGCCCCAATCCTTCCTCCCCTCCCACTCATTTTACCCCATGGCATTTTTCAAATCACAATTGCCCATCCACATTTCGAGTTGCCCCATTTCCAATTTGGCCCCCATTCTTCCCCTCACTCATTTTCCCCCATGCACATTTTCCAATTCACAATTGACCCCCATCCCTCTTCCACTTTCAATTGGCCCCTTTTTTCCCCATTCCCTCCAAGACAATTTTCAAACCAAAGTTGCACTATCATCCTTTACCCGCAATCGACCATTGCGTTCCCCCATAAAACTTAATAAACCCTAATATAACTTAATATAACTTAATATAACTTAATAAACATAACATAAGAAAATTGACGTTCGTGACATTACACAATTACTCTACTTTTGAAAAAGTAAAGTTATTGCAATTTTTGGTTTTCTCGGTTTACTTCTATTATTTTTATTTCTAAACTGTATCCTACTTAATTTTTTTTGGACATCTTTAATTCCTTAAATGCAACTTCTTTTTGTGTGTCATTTAAAATTGTGTCTTATCGCTCGCATAGATTGGTACCTATTTTGCAATTTACTCATGTTTAAAAATTAAGTTTTCCGGTAATTGCATGATTCTAATCTTTTTTGTTTATGTTGCGATTAATTCTAGTTAATTATTTTTGCATCTGTGGTTTTTATTTTTAGTAACTATTTTGAAACAAAAAATTATCTTCTATTGTCCATTAAGTAGCTACTTTATTATTTATATTTTTCTTAATAAATTTTTGTTACTTTATTCAATTTATTGTGACGAAATAGAATTTACTTTGAAACATTGACATATAAGCGTTGAAAATCAAGATGGTAATAAATTTTTTTATTTTTTCAATGTTTTAATTAACTATAGTATTTTGTTAGCATAGTTTTATTAAGTTTAAAAAAGATTATTTTTGACTGAGGTTCTACTATGAAAATATAAAAATATTGCGTGAACAGTATGTCGTCAATCTTACTACCACCTCCATCTCATAAAATATAATGGAATTTCTACTTTTTATCTTCTACTTTTAAAATTTGAATCCATCTAACACTCTTCTTGTATTTTCTTAATTTCCTCAATTCAAATTACTCTGTCATTTTCATACACTGTCCTTACAGGTTTCAATACCCCTTCCCATTTCCAATTTACCCATTATTCCCCCACCACTCATAATGATAAATCTAAAATCTAAATCGCTGTTGGGTTGGCCCCCCTTTCTTCCCAATTGGCCCGCAATCCTTCCTCCCCTCCCATTCATTTACCCCCATGGCAATCTTTAAATCACAATTGCCCATCCAAACTTCGAATTGACCCCCTATCTAAATTTGCCCATTCTTCCTCCCACTGATTTTCCACCATACACATTTTCCAAATCACAATGGCCATGCGCATTACAAATTGACCCCTCTCCAAACTTGCCCATTTTTGCCCCTTACTCATTTTCCCCCATGGCATTCTCCAAATCAAACTTGTCTGTTTTCTTGAGTTATTTTGTCTATTTTTGTTCCTGCACTGTATCCTATTCAATATTTTTGGACATCTTTCATTCCTTAAATGCAACTTCTTTTTGTGTATTATTCAAAATTGTGTCTTATCGCTCGCATAGATTGGTATCTATTTCACAATTTACTGATGTTTGAAAAACAAATTTTCTCGTTATTGTATGATTGTAATCTATTTCTGTTTATGTTGCTATTAATTTTTGTTCATAAATTTTGCATTTGTTTTTTCTATTTTTAGTAATTATTTTAAAACTAAAATTATTTTCTCTTTTACATGAAGTAGCTTCTGCGTAAATTTTTAATTTAAAATTATTTTTTTTTGGCTTTATTGAATTTTTTGCCTTAATATAGAGTATATTTGAAAACATTGACATATAAGCGTTGAAAATCAATTCAATAAGAAAATTCGTTATTAATGTTTTTAATGTTTTAATGGACTATATTAATTTTTAGCATAGTTTTTTCAAGTTTAAAAAAGATTGTTTTTGAATCAGGTTGTATGATAAAACATAGAAACATTGCATGGACAGTATGTCGTCAAGTTTACTACTATTTAAATCTCCTAAAATATGAATCAAGTTCAACTTGAAATCTTCTACTTTTGGAACTTAAATTCCTCGAACACCTCTTTTCGTATTTTCTTAATTTCCTCAATTCAAACCATCCTGTCCTTTTCAGACACTGCCCTTACAGTTTCCAACATCCCTTTCATTTCCAATTTCCTCACCCCCTTTCCCCACTCATTTTCCCCCATCGCAATTTCTCCACTCTCTCCCATTTTTAATTTTCCCATTCTTCCCCCCACCCACAAGGCGATCACCTTGGGGTTGGCCCAAATTGGCCCCTTTCCCCATCCATTTTCCCCCATCGCAATTTCCCCACTCTCTCCCATTTCCAATTTACCCATTCTTCCCCAGCCCACCACCATGGCAATTTCAAATCACGATCACCTTGGGGTTGGCCCAAATTGGCCCCTTTCCCCACCCATTTTCCCCCATCGCAACCCCCATCACAATCTCTCCCACTCTCCAATTTACAATCATGCCCATCACACCCCACACCCATAATGGCAATTTTCAAATCAAAATTGCGCGGGCCCATTTACAATCGGACACTCCTTCCAAATTGCCCACCTTTCCCATTAGCAGAAAAATCAGTAAAAAGTGTGTATATTGGTGCTCAACATATTATGCAGAATCAAACCCAATGGAAATAACAAAATCTTCATTTTACAGTATACCAATATGATTCAACATTGGGTCAACTCTGGAAACAACAGACTCAAACGAGTTTCGGTCAACGATCTGTTTAGAATTTGAAAGTAATTTACAACTATGAGGAGAGAATGTGGGGATTTTCTCTCGTTATGATTCTTGTCAAGCAAACTATCAACTAGATTGTCCTCTGTGTATTTAGATGAAAGAATACTAGTACTCGTTGGTATTTCGTCTACCGAGTCTACTTGGGTAAATTCTTCCAATAAATCCATACAATCGTGAAGCAATCGGTATTAAATAGACTATTGAGGATATATAAATACTATATGACCCAAAGTCTAGGGTATAACGACTCTTCTTATGGGACAGAGAGGTTTCGAGTGTCACGATAAAGGATCTTGATGAGCTAAAAGACTCATAATAGACGAACAACCCAGTGTGGTTCAAACAACCCATTTCATTCTAGTAGCACTATCCAATCCAGTTCGTATTCATCTTGAGAATGCAAAATGAAACTACTCCTATTTATATCATGTACCTTGTATAAATCTTTTTCTATGGTTACAACTTGTCTTTGACCCGCAAATCAACATTCTGTCTAAAGTGAATTCTTAGATCACCTTTTTCAATAGAGTTGTCCTGCTACTATTCATCAAATACTGGAATCAGTCAATTTCACAAATCCGAGTGCAATTATTTGTCAGTTGATAGATAAATAGGCTAGTATGACACAAAGCAATCAATCATTCAATCAAACAATCAGTTAGTGAATCAACACAAGCCAAACTTAATTCTTCATCCATAAAGATAACAAAGAGTCTGCTGTGAAAGGCATCCTGTACTAGTAAAAGCTGTACCAGGTTATCAACTTGAATTTGTAATAGCTTAATATAACAAAGATAAGAGACAACTTTTTTCAGCAAAGGAAGTAAACGGACATAACCATATGTCTCAGCATGACTTGAAGTACTAACAATCAAAGGTTAGGATCAAAGTACTTCTTCGTCAATCTTCTCAAGTTATTATGTGGATTCAAATCTTTCAAACAACATAAAACCGAATGTTTGCAATGTTTGCGTTCTTCTACTTAAAATGGGAATGATCTCTAAAGTTGCTGAGCATACAGTTCCTTTCAGTTGAGTTGAATTGCCTCGTATGAATATGATTTTGTAGTTAACTGCGACATTATATATGTCCCACTATCAAATCGATCCTTGATGGAACAGATTGGTGACAACTGGGTTCTATCAAAACTGTACAACTCATAGCCATAAAACTTGATAGTTTCGCCGATAACAAGGCTTCTATGAAACTAAGTTACAGGATGAGCTATATGATAAACAGTAAAAAAAAAAAGGTTAAGAGTAAATTCAAATAGCATATAATAGGTACTCTTCAAATACAGTATTCATAACAAGAATATGAATTCAAATGAACAAGGTCAAGTCATTCTATTTGACACCGAGTTCAATACAAAAGTGGCCAAGATAGATTGAAGTCCCTCTCTGGACAACTCCAAATTGAGCTTGTAACTAGGCATAACTGATATGATAAATACCAAAGGTACTCTCTTTATGACCAACTCGTGTGATTCTATAGATAAGGCGTAGTGAACAAGAGAATGAAAGGTGCTTAAAGAAACCATAAACTATTCTCAATTCAACGACATTGATCTGACTCTCTCAAGCAAAGCACTTGAACTGCTCACTTTTTTGATGGTTGATTATCAGTCTATTTAGCACAATCCCTAATGTCTCCACTCAATACAGTTTAAACT